AAAGAAAGAAAGAAAGTTTATACTCAATGTAGGGAAGCCTTGACATTTTATAATAGTTCACTTTGTTTTCCTAATTTAAAATACTAATACCTTTGTTCTTGGTATGGTTTTGTTACAGCAGTAATAATCTCTATCCTTATTACAAACCAAAATAAATTTTACTATAATTTGTTTTACATATTTAACATTTTGCTTTCTTTGGTCAGGCTTCTTACATTTTAAAAAAATGTTGTAGGTCCTTCTCCAAACCCATACTAACTGTGAGGAGCAGGTCAGATTCCCCAGCCGAGGGGCTTCCTGCCAAGTGCCTCCCGGGATTCCTCAAGACCATCAGAACAAGGAAGGTCCGGGAAAGTGCCTCAGCCAAGAGGAGCGTAAGGAGCCATGGCTGAATGTCATGTGCTATCCTGGAGGGATCAAAACTGAGCAATTCTGAATAACGAATGGAATTTGTTCGTCATTATTTTACCAGTTTGTGATCTGTAACAAGTACCATGCTAATAATGTCAGACTCTGGTGATGGACGAAACATGTCCCCCCCCGTCATGGAGACTGGGGTGTGCTCAGACAGAGAGCGAGGGAGCCCCCTCACACCGCCTTCGCTGACTGAAGTGGCCCTCACCGAGGAGATCCCAGAAAGCCCAGCTCTCCACAGACTCCCGGCTGATGTGGAGGCCATGTGTCTGAGCAGGGAAGTCCGGGCGGCGGGGGGGGCATGCAGGAAGTCAGAGCAGGGCAGAAGGCTATCCGAACTTGGAGCATGCTCCCCAGCAGCACACAGAGCTGTCAGAGGGGGGTGAACGCCGCGGGGGCTTCCTGACGCAAATAAGTATTATAAGTCCATACTGATACAGACAGACAGAGAATTCTGTACAGAATAATTCCAAATAACGTATGGAGATGCTCTGTCCTCAAGGAGGTAGAGCCTAGCTCCTGACCTTTCAGTAAGGGCTGCACATCGTGACTTTCTGGCAAAGACTGCAGGACAGAAGGTCAGAGTAACCAGAGTGCAGAAACCTGACCGACACTACCTGAGCCAGGCGATCCGGGTGGTGAGTCATGTTGACACAGGTGCCCTTGCTATGGTGGGTTGAGATGGCATTTGACCTTTTGGTCTCCCTCCCAAAACACATCACCCCAAGACTGAGATCATGAGAGAAGGATCGCACAAATCCAACTGACCAGCTTTCGGAGAACCACACAGAGACCATAGGCAATAAGTGGTTATTAACTAAATTCATTAATGTAGTAGATGAGCAAAGTCCTGGCCATTCAAAGGAGTGATCGGCCCAGAAGGAGAAGAGTTAGAGCTGCACAGATCACTACAAATGAGATGTGAAGTGACCGCTGATGAGAAGTATAGGTCGAGGTCCGCACGTCTTCAGAGGAGGAGGTCGTTAAACTTCCTTGCCTTTCTGACCCAGGGTTGGTTGTCCGCCCAGGTGATCTCTCATGGTCCAGGGCTTCTCCTGCCACATGGCATATATCCGGGTGCCATCGTTCTCCACCAGCACGTGGGCTTGGAGGGCAGAGACTGCCTTTTGTGTTCACCTTCACATCTCAATACCAGGGACCTTGCCTGATGGAGCGCAGCACTCCACAGGCCTCTGTCCGACGTGTGCGTGCATTGATGAAGCTGCAGAGTTCTCTCAGGAAGTGTTGGGGTCCTGGATGTAGGTTTAAATCCTGCTTCAGTTTAAATCCTGACTTTAGGCCAGCTCCCCAGCTTCTCCTCATCTCAGTTTGCTCCAATACGTAAAGCGAAGAAGTTAAGGCATACCCCTCAACGTTGTTATGTAAATTAAGTGAGGGATACGATATAAAAATGCTTGGCCCATAGTGAACATTCTGTGGATAATACGGCATTTGAGGTTGGGTTGAAATTGGACAAAGCGTAGAGAAGGATGTTTAAGTTAAAGCAGAATGGACAAATACAAGAAAGTGAGATTAAATACAGTCAGGAACTTCGCAGGGATCTGTTTGCCTGGACATGGGAACAGGAGGTAGAGGAATGAGGAGGTTCATGGATGCTAGACCAGGATGGCCGACTCTTGCTCAAGCAGGCAGGGAGATGCTTGAGAAGGAACTGGCCGGGAGGTGCGTGGAGCAGTAGGGTTATGCATTCCAGGACCTGGGAGAGCAGTCAGGATTGGAAATAGAGATTTGGGAGTGTTTGCATAGTTTGTCATGAAATTGGCAAACCAGGCAGCGTATGCGGAGCGTTTACTGTAGGACATACAAGGGGTAACGAGCCCCTTCCACAGTTGAGGAACTTGGTTAGTGTCACGCTGTTCAACACTTACTTTGGTAATTACTAAACAATAGTTTTTTTCTTCCCAGATATTTCCCAGATACTCTGAATCTTCCCAAAATGTACAGATCAGTGTGGGCTAAGTGAGGTTGTCGAAGAAGTCCCTTGGAAGTAGTATACTTTACCCTCAACCATGAAGACCGGTTAGGAGTTGGGCCGTTGCTGGCGGGGGCAGTGGGTGATCATCCCGGATAGGAACGCAGCTTTGGAATCGAGGCATCCAGGTTTAAATTCTGGTTCCACAACTTCTCAGTCATGGCCTTGAGCACAGTCTAGCACAGGAGGGTTTAACGGGGCCAAGAAGAAATGGACAAAATGTTGAAGATGGAGGAGACAGTGGTTGAAGGCCCGTGGAAGAAGAGAGCCTAGCATCTAGGAGGGATAAAGAGAAGACATGGTGACTGGACGCGCACTGGGGTGCGGGCCGTGACCTGCGAGGCTGGGGTGTCGGAGGGGCCACACCTTTCAGGCCGGGTCTCATAGGCTACACCAGGGATTCTGTCTTTTTTGAAACCCATTGAAGCGTTCTCAGCAGCGGAGTGACGTGATCAAATGTGCATCTGGCAAAACCATTCTGGATGCAGTGTGGACAGCTATTGAAGAGAACAGGACTGAACGCAGAAAGACCAGTTAGGAAGTGAGGGCATTTATCAGACCCAGGCCAGGGGCCGTGGAGGTGGGGAGAAGTGGATGAATTACAGAGAGATTTGCGGTAAACTCTGCAGGGCCCCATGATAAACCGGGGAGGGTGGCAGAGGTCATGTGATGAGGAGGAAGCCCAGATTTCTGCATCATCGGTTGGATGGTGGCACCATGCCGTTCACTTATAAATATGCTGGAACCCCCACGAATCCTTGCCATCCTTTTGCCAGCTGTCACTAACATTTACAGAGATTTAAAGAATCTGTGTATCTGTCCACATAGTTACCGTTTTCAGTGCCCTGTCTCCTTGGGTAGATCCGTATTTTCATTTAGTGTTTATTGTAAATTATGTATTCATTTGTTTATTTATTTGTAAATTACGTGTTTCTTTATTTTTAGTAATGCTGCATTCTGTGACCTTGCTCGACTCATTTCTTTTAGGCCTGGGAGCTTCTTTTGTCGATTTCTTTGGTATCTTCTTTGTAAAAAAAATCATGATCTGCCAGTAAAGACAGTTTTGCTTTCTCCTTTTCAGTCTGTACGCCTTTGTTTCTCTCCTTGCCATACTGTCCAGGTGAGGATCTCCAGGGCGGTGTTGGATAGGATCTGCACGCGTGAGCGCCCTTGCCTTCTCGCGCTTATGGGAAAACCTGTCACGGTGTCCATAAGTCTTTCGGCCGCAGGTTTTCATACGTGCTCACCAGCTGATGAGCAAGCCCTTCGTTGTTGCTGATATTTGCCTTTTTTCTTTCCTTTTTAGCAGAAGACTCAGAAAGTGGTGTTTACATGCGCTTCATGAGGTCACACAAGTGTTACGACATCGTTCCCACCAGTTCAAAGCTTGTGGTCTTTGATACTACATTACAAGTAAGTGTCACGGTCTTCACGAACTGCTGTCACACCGTCCGCGTGGCTCTTTCATCGGGGAATTCACATCCAGCGACACCAGCAGACATGTCGGGTGTCGCGCTGAGCTTTTGTCTGTGTTCTCCGTCCCCGTGGCAGCCGTGGAAGGAACGTGCTGTTACCGTCCTCTTTCTCCAGATAAGGAAAATCGTTCTAGAGTCAGAGAACCGAAATCACAAAGTTTAGTCCACAAATCCTAGAATTTAGTGACTTAATCCACAGAGCTGGTGAATGATGGGGTCTGCCTGGTATGTTAGAGCCTGAGTTATTAACCATTAACCTCTACCACCTCCCTCAGTATATCCTGATCTTTTTTTCTCTTAGTTATTTAGTAGAATATGTAATAAATTAATTTTAAAGAGCACTGTTTAAAAAAAAATTACTAAGGTAGATGATCTCTCGAGAAAGAACTTTATTGATCTCTTTGAGCAGAAAAAATTGAACCTTATCATTTTGGTATTAAAATTTGCTTATTGCAGCTCATTTTATACCCATATGATGTACAATCATATATGAAAAGTCCTAAATGATACATTCACTGCAACGATCAGGTTACATCCAACGTAATAAATATGCATATACACGTAGGGATCTAGTATCTGTGGTTGTACATAAATCTTTACAAGGGAGTGGCTTCACTTGTGCTCCCAGAAGCAGCCGCTGACCAGGAATTCATGGGCAGTCGGTGCTTTATTAGGGTGTGCTCCCGGGAGACCCCCTGAAGGACTGGGGGAGAACCCGGAGAGGCAGGAGCCCTGCCAGGTTGGCCTCAGCTGGCCCCTCGGCAGGACGTGGTAGGGGAAGGTGCCCTTGTGAGCTCACCCCTGCCTCTCCATTCGTCCAGGGCTGTCCTGGGAGAAAGGTGCCCAGACTCGGCCAGCTCTGCCCCTTGCTCCAGGGCCGTCCTCATCCCTCCCTCAGCCTGGTCTGCGGTCTTGCCAGCAGCTTGCCCCTGCGGCCTGCAGAGGACACCTGGGCTCTCAGGGCCACTTTGCCTGCAGTTGGTGCCAGCTACACAGGACTCTCAGGAATTGTTCTTGTTTAATTTCATTTGCCAACTGGTTTTTTGTCATCATACAGAAATACAACTGATTTTTGTAAATTGACCTTATATCCTATGACTTAGGTAAATTCACTTCAGACGAGGTAACTTTCACGGTTTCTCCTCAACCCCTAAGATTCTCTGATTCTTTGACACAACGAGGACAGGAAGGCATCCAGGACACTACTATATGGGGAACGTGACAGACAGCAACTTCGGAAAATCTAGTCTTTACAACTGTAACCATAGATTTCATAGTAAAAGAGCTAGAAGTTCTCAGTTCCCAAAGTAAAGAACTACTTGGTCAACCCGTCTCACCTTCGCTCCCATTCCCCAAAAGGCTCACTACTTTTTCAAGACCCAGATCTCCTGACCCTGGGTTTCCCACCAACAGCAAGGTCAGTGATGGCTGGTAAGACCTGTGTCTGCTTTCACTCCTACTCAGCTTGTCCCTTGCCACGGAATTGACTTTCTTCCGAATTTAAAATTTAGCCAAAGTTGGGTGATACATGAAAAATGTGCTATTTTTGTGGATTGTCGGAGGCCCCTGATCCAGTAATGTCACTTCCTGAGTTAATATGAGCTGTGTGTGCATCATCCCCTGGCGGTCGTGAATCTTGGGAGGCTCTTGGCTTTGAAGGAGCTAAACCTTATTACCAGGGAAATAGGGGGGTTGGGGATTGTCATGGGTGGAGCAAAGTTAAACATGCATTTGAAAGGTATGAGTAGAGTATTTTCTAGATGCAGACTGCAGTAGTAGTCGTTGATACATCTCGAGAGCAAAGAAAGCTTGTAGAGAACACCGCACAGGGATGACAGAGTACCAGAAACAACCCACATATCCTAAGAGATTGGTTCAATAAATCCTGGTGTAGGCATCTCATGGAATAATACCACGTAGCCATTAAGAAGAACGGAAGAAGTGTTTGTCAAGAATATGTTTTTGGGGGCACCTAGGTGGCTCAGTTGTTAAGCGTCTGCCTTCGGCTCAGGTCATGATCCCGGGGTCCTGGAATCGAACCCCACGTCAGGCTCCCTGCTCAGCCGGAGTCTGCTTCTCCCTCTCCCACTCTCCCTGCTTGTGATTCCCTCTCTCGCTGTCTCTCTCCCTCTGTCAAATAAATAAAATCTTTAAAAAAGAAAAAAGAATATGTTTTTAAGTAAAAAAGCAAGTTGCAGAAGAAGACACGTATTATGACCACATTATTCTGAGGGTACAAGTATCAGAGTCCTAACTCCTAGATGCACCCAGACCTGGGAGATGAGCACAGACGAATGGAGAACAGTGGAATGAAAGGCTCCCCCAGACGAGGGGAAAGAACAGTCTCGGACAGTTTCAGCCTCCAGCTTCTGTCTCTGAGAGGCTGGCTCGACTCTCCATGGTCGGGTTTGGCAAAATTCTCATTTCATACCGGAATTCACTGAGGACCAGCGTCCATCTCTCCGTCCCGACCGAGCGGAAAGCAAACGCACAGCCTGCGGTCCTGGGGCCGGCGTGCCATGAGAAGCGTCGGTAAAGCAAGCCAGTTTCTCCTCGTCGGCAGCGGTTTGTGAGGGGCACCCCGAGACCACGGGCGCAGAAGGAACAAGGGGAGGTAGCCCCGTCCCTGACGCACCGTTGCCACTTGCTGACCGCTGGCTGTGCTGCTCGACGGTCAGAGGACAGCCACCCCCCCCCGCCACCCCGTTCATGGTGGGAGCTCGGCGTCTCACGGTTCGCTCCGTCTCTGCTAGGCCCAGTAGCAAGCCAGGAACTGTTTCTCGGAAGGACGGTAACTGCCTACAGGAGAAGGCATGGTTTCTCGCTGCTGCTTTTCTCAGCCCCCAACGTGTGCCCTAGGGGTCTCCTGCTGGTGCTTCGTGGGGCTTGGTACAGGATCCCTCGTGTGGACGCTGCTGGTGACAGGCCCGTGTGGACGAGGAGCCTGGACTTGCTGCCAAGCCTTCCCTTGCTCTGGTCACTCTGAAAACAATCATGGGCCCCTCAGCGAACGCGTCAGGGTAGCCACTTGGTGCGTGTTGCTTCCAAAAGACCTCCCCCTCGATCTGTAGCTGGCAGGGTGTGTGCAGAGCAACAACCTGAATTTCCCTTGCAGGGGCTGTTGCTAATGCCCCCAGCCTCCCCTCACCCTGGAAACTCACCCTCTGACGTCCTTACGTCTCACGGGGGCATTATCTGGAGTATTGCTTCTTCCTGCCCGTCAGCTCCAGTCAGCACGATAACCTCAGCGTCGTGGACCAGGGTGGCGTGCGGAAGGTCTAAAGGATGAGCGTCTCTGCAGACGCTTGAAGGCAGAGAGCAGGAGGGCAGTGCAGCCTCCAGGCACGTGGTGAGGGGTCCCATGCCAGGTCCAAGCAGAGACTGCTTCTGGGGTTCCTTGAGAGTCGCTGTGGAGAGAAAGTATGTGTCCGGGCAGTCGTGGCAGGTCCCCCAAGATGCCACATCGGGAACAGTCACCGCAGCTAGTCACCACGCGATCGAGTTGACAGTAATTCACGGCTGATCCAGAGACAGTCACAGGCCAGACAGGAAAGGCCTGGAGCCGAGAGATAGCAGCTTCTTACGTGGCCCCGTGGAGAAGGAGGATGTGTCCCAGCCCTTCCAGAGAAGCCTGGTAGTTCAGAGAAAGATAGGAGTTAGTGCTTTCAGATTCTAAACAGTGATACCTCAGGAGTGATGAGAGGCTCAAAAATAAATAAAACTTCCCAAGATTGGGGGGTTGGGGAGCATCAAGAATTATGCAGGCCTTCCCTCACAACGGCAGTATGACTTTTTTAGCAATACTCTTAACAAACAACTATTTTTAATAGAATGTTTGTTCTAGAGTAGTTTTAGATTTATAGAAAAACTGTGAAGTGAGTCTGGACTTCCCAGGCACCCCATGCCCCGGTTCCCCCATTCCTGCCATCTGTCATCAGTGTGGCAAACGCTTGTCACAATTCACGAACCAGTATTGATACAGGATTATCACCTAAAGCCCATAGTTCATTCAGATTTCCTGACTTTTTACCTAATGTCATTTTTCTGTCTGAGGATCCCACCTAGGCTACCCCGTGACACTGGGTCACCACATCTCCCGAGGCGCCTCTTGGCTGTGGCCGTGTTTCAGACTTTCCTTGCTCCTGTGGTCTTAACGGTTTTAAGGAGCACTGAGCAGGTCTTCCGGGGGAGACCCCGCTGTTGGGATTTACCTGATGTTTTTCTCACCGTCAGATTGGGATTATGCGTTTTAGAAGGAAGACCACAGAGAATAAGGTGCCATTTCATCCTGTCCTACCAAGGGTGCGTACACTTATTAGTACCACTGTTGACCTTAACATGGGTCACCCGGCTGACCTGGTCTTCGTCAGGTTTCTCCGCGTCTGTGCTGTCCTCCTAGGAAGTCATGGGGCACAGCACATGTGTGCGGTGCAGGGCTGCGCTCCACCCCCTGAGAGCACAGGAGATATGTAAGTTAGCTGGAATGCCTCTGCAAGGGACGTGTTAGTTTTTCTCTCCCACTTATTTTTTTTTTTTTAAAGATTTTATTTATTTATTTGACAGAGAGAGAGACAGCAAGAGAGGGAACACAAGCAGGGGGGTGGGAGAGGGAGAAGCAGGCTTCCCGCCGAGCAGGGAGCCCGATGCGGGGCTCGATCCCGGGACCCCGGGACCACGACCCAAGCCAAAGGCGGACGCTTAACGACTGAGCCACCCAGGCGCCCCTCTCCCACTTATTTTTTTATTCAGTCATTTATGTCAGCACAGATTTGTGAACATATGTATCCTATTCAATTACGATCCATCACTATTTTGTTGCTCAAACTATTTCAGTCAGTATAACTTTTAACAAAACCCAAGAGCAAATGAAGGGGGGAAACAGGCAGGCATCCGAGTGACTGTGTGCTAAGCCCAAGTTCTTAGTAAGAACACCTAGAA